TTTCTTTTTTTTTTGTCTTTTTCTTTTTTCTTACGTTAATCAAATCTTTTACTTTTCTCCTGAGTCCTGTATAAAAGTAAAATGAAATTTGTGTAAAAATGTATTTAACCTCTTGTTTACTTTTCAGCCCATCAATCTACGCCGTCCGTGTATGTGAATTATGATCAACCCATGTTCCTTCTTTCATGGATGATCAATTTATATATATATATATATAATAATAAAATTATATGATTGATGGTGTTGTTTGGAACAATTTAGGCGCTGTTTGGCAATCTTGATTTTCACTCAAAAAATTATTATAATTTGCCAAGTCATTTTTTTATTTTCATTTTTTTTGCATATATTTTTAAAAAAAAAATTAAAAAAATAACTAAAAATTCAATTCCCAAACCACACCTTACAATATAGATTATCATTTTTCTTATTTGAACATTTGTTTTAGTATTTGAGGTTTCTATAAATTTAGTCAACGGAGTGAGATATTTTTTTTAAAAAAAATTAAAAAAATAACTAAAAATTCAATTCCCAAACCACACCTTACAATATAGATTATCATTTTTCTTATTTGAACATTTGTTTTAGTATTTGAGGTTTCTATAAATTTAGTCAACGGAGTGAGATTGACTTATTATAATAATCTAAATTTGAAAAATTATTAAATATTTCCGGAGTACCATGTGTTTATACTTTTTAATCAATCATCATTTAATATGCCTCCTCATGTTCCCCAATTACCCAACACAATACCCCACCTACTCACCTTCTCTACTAATCATAATATTATGAAACTGGTGGTGCGTACCAATTAATGTATCAACACGAATTGTGACATTATTATTTACTACACTCATTAATTACATTACAAATACCAAAAATTTCTTAAATTATGCCACATTATCAATTAGTACACTAGTTAGTGTACTAATTGATGCATATAACATTATTCATTATAAAACACCACATGTTTATACTTCAGAATTATTGAATAATTACTCTCAATTTATTGACTTGCTAAAAGTTATATATAATACTTTTTAATATACATAGTGTGGGAACATACACAATTTCTATTGGTAAAAGAAAATAATAACAAAGTTTTTTTAAAAAAAAAGTTATATTAGAGATGATTAAGCCTATAGAAACGTTGTTTTAAAAATACATATATATATATATATATATCTGTATGTGTGAATTCTAAATAATTGAAATTATTTTGGTAATAGGGTAAAATAGTTAAGAAGTCAAGAGCAATATTAGGTATATAAAAAATTTTGATAAATTTTCTAGCATTTTTCAAAAGTCAGAAAAATAGCACAAAAAAGTCAACTTTCTCTTTTTACTTATTTATCCCTCTTTTTGTGAAATCTCAAAAAATTAAATAAAATAATCAATTTTCAGAACAATCTTGAATTTGTATTATTATTATTATTATTATTATTATTATTATTATTATTTTGATGTGTATAGAGTTTATTGAATTATTTGAATTTTATAAATTGACTGGTTTGTGTATAGGTTATTTTATTAATTTTTTAATTTTTTAACTAAAATATAAGGTGAAAACAATTAGTATATTTGAGACATTATTTGAATTTTTATGAAAAAATGTACAAAAGTAAAAGAAAAAGGAATCTTTAAATTTTTTAGAATATAATTCTTTAGTTTTTTATTTTTTTTAATAACTTTTTGACTATTATTTGATGTTGCCAAACTTATTCAAAAAAACATAATCACATAAGAGTGACCTTTGAGGCTAGATCCTAAGGAGCTAAGGATCCCAAAGGTCACTTCTAGATAGTGCTACATATAGCTTGATCATTCAATCATATAACAGTAAATCGCAAACTCACATAGACGTGAATTTGAATCCATATTTCTGATACCGGATACGATTCGGCCAAACATAAAAGAGAGAATAGAACTTAAAATCTCAAAATTTATATCTCAAAACCTTATCAAATTTTTGAACCCATTGGATTGCTACCAAACTTACCCAATAAAGGTCCCCTTTTGGCAACTAGGTTAAAAGTTAATTTATTGACATTTTAACTTTTTTAGATCACATTATTTCTTTAATTTTTACATTTTTTTTTCAAAAAAATTAAAAATTAATTTTTAACTTTTTTTAAATAGGCCAAATGGTAACAAATAAAACTGTCAATTATTAATCCACAACAATTGTTTGTATATTGAGGCCTTGATTTTTAGAACTAGCTATTTTAATAATTTTTTTGATTTTTTTAGTTAAAATATGAGGTAAAAAAAATTAGTATATTTAGAATGACTTTTTAATTTTTGAAAAATGAGTGAGAACACTAATTAGTGCTACAACGAATGATGTGGCAGTGGGCTCCACCACGAATGATTTGATATTTTGGCCTTGGTATTGTATTTTTTTTCTTTTTTTATTGAGTGTCATGTCATTAGTGATCTTTTTAGAGCTCCAAAATTAATGGTCTCTATTATTGTTGCTAATTTTTTACCAACACATAAGCAAAAAGTAGGACTGGGCATAAGGTTATCCGAACCACCCAAACCGTCCAACTCGAACCGATCCGCATGCAAAAGGATAGTTTTGCAGACACAATGCGGACGGATGCGGTTTGAAATATGACATGATTGCAGATTGTGGACGGGTTGCGGATTTAACCCGCTCACACTTAGTCTTTTTTTTTAAAAAAAAAAAAAATCTAGACCATTGTTATTTTATTATTACATCTTAGATGAATATAAAAATTAATGAAGAATTACTTTTAGGTAAGTTTTGGATTTTGAATGATTTTACTTTAATTATATTTTTGGGTAGTAGATAGTGAGATTGATAATCTAGTTTAGGATTTTGAAAGATGTGCTTGTGTGAGTTTATAATTTCATTTAAAAGTTTAGAATTTTGAATAATATGTTTGTACTAGGAATTGATTTTGTTGTGTTTTAAATTTTATAAGTTTTAATTCATTAATTATTAATGTTGGAGCATTTTAGAAAATATGGAGAAAATGATAAAAAAATAAATATTTACAAAATGGAAAAAAGGTTCCAAAATAATTTTTTAAAGAAAAAATTTCAATCCGCAAACCGCCCGCAGCCGCCTACACATCTGTGATCTTATCTGCACAAACTGCAACTCACACTGTATGTGGTTGTGAGTTGAATTTTTCTCAAATAGCATATATGTCAACGAGTCTAAACCGATTCGTAAATCGTTTAAAATCGAACCACAATCATTCTTAACTAAAAGTAAAAAGAAAATAAAATTTTTAAATTTTTAACATAAATTATAATTTTTTTAATAATTTACTAACTTTTAAACTAAAATTCTATCAGGCAAACGAGAACTGAAAGTAGTTATGATCCAACTTCCAATAAATTGCACGGGATGGGACCGTGACTTAGGGAGTCCCTCATCGTCAAAAGGAAGTTGGGTTGAATAGAGTTGTTAATGATGATGATGAAGGACCTTCATGCAAGTGTTCAAATAATGAAGTCTTGATGCTCATAATGACGTGTTTGATAAAAGTAATGTGAATGTGAGAAGTGGGCCCACTTTAGTGTCACCCACGTGGGGTGTGACCCACCGGTCTCCTTAAAGTTTAGGGCATCTCACGCCGCCCATCACCCTGTTAATCTATTTTGTGTTTCAAATATTAAAAATCTATTTTGATTTTTCTCCAATTTCTTTCTACCCCAACAAGAAAGCCAATCTCACGAGTGATCAGCGCGACTCCACTTTCTTCGTACTTTTTCTAACTGACTATTCTCTCCAACGATAAAAGAACTACGTGCACGTGAGCCAACGTCTCTCTCTCTCTCTCTCTCTCTCTCTCTCATCACACATACATGAACAGACAAGGTTCTCATCATACATACATGAACAAACAAGGTCATAAGGTCACAAGTTTACCCCACAACTATTTTATCATTATCCTTTTCCTTTTATCATGCCACTTTGTGTTCTTCTGTAATTCTTTTGACAAAAAAGAAGATTTAATTGACAGGAAAATACAATTTTTTTTTTAATCTTCCATAATTAACTTGTCGACCACGAAAAGAACTTGATATTGGCATTGCAATTCAAAAGATTTTTAATCTATCTATCTATCTATATGACCCCACTTTGCTAAACTATTTGCTATGTTTTATTGTGAGTCTACAATGATGAATAATATCCCCCATTGAATACACTTTTTTATGAAAAAAATTCTGTTAAAATAGATTTTCTTGTCTTTAGCACTTAAATTAGATTGACTTAGTTTAATCTATTATTATTTCTCTCAAATAAACAAAATCAAGCATGAAAATTTTTTTTGTGTAGACAAAAATATCAGGTAATTAATATCAAGAGAGAGATTAACCTAATAGATATTGAGCAATGCTAGGTATCATGAAAAAACTTTCATGAAAATGATCATGAAAAATATATGACCTTTATATTACACTTAAAATAAAGCACCACATACTAATCAAGGTAATCCAAGGGTCATAAATTTTTCATGACCAGTTTCATGAAAGTTTTTTCATGATCCCTATCTTTTCTCATAGATATTAGATGAAGTGTACTAGACATAATGCCTAACTTCAAGTTTTATTATTGTGAATGCACCTTCTTCTCTCGTATTCCTCTATTGCCAATTGTACTTATTAAAAAAATGTGATCAGTTATTCGCTTCCTAAATTTTGTAAAAGATTAACATAAGGTTAAAATCAGGATTAATTTTTTTATTTGCACAAAAATTAATCATAAAATTGAATACAATAATCTCATAGATGTAAAATTCACAAAAAAATAAAATAAAATAAAACCTTCAATGAAAAGATTGTGTCGAATTTTGAGATGAAACTCTCTCTTGCTAACCACACCAACGATGCATGAAATGAACAAAAGTAAACTAAGGAGGAAGAATCAATATAACGAAAAACTGTAAAGAATCAGGCATTAATTAAACACAAAAACAAAATTATAATAATATATATACTTCTTTGATAATTTACAAACATAATTAGAAAAAGAAGAGGATGATGAGATTGATTAGTCATTTCTATTCTTCTATAAAATTTAATTAACACTAACTTTTTTTCATTATATATATATATATATATATATAAATATTTTGCCCTTTACCAATAAAAAAAGATAGGGGGGGTTCTAAGGGGGTCTCTGTTTTAACTAAAATACTAGCATACAACTTAACAAGCTGCTGATGGGTTGGTGAAGGGATTGAAGAAGTGGGGCTTTGGAGCCATTGAAAATGGGTTCTTGGGAGTATTATCACCGCCACCGTTGCCGCCACCGCCGCCACCGATCCTCTCGCAAGACGGGCACATGGTGAGGGTAGCCGCCGGGAGTTGCATGTAGAAGGGTTGAGTTAGTTTCAGTGTTTTCAGATCTTGTAACTCTTTCTGTAGCCTCCTGTTCTCATCTGTCAGTGTTTCACAACATTTCTTCAAGAACTCACAGTCTACTTCAGTTTGCTTAAGCTTTGTCCTGTAAAATATAACATGAATTCATTCAGATTTCCAATTGGAAAAAGTTGAACAAAAGAAATAACTAAAATATCGATATTGATTGATACATCAATTGAAATTGTTTGATATTGACCAAATGGGTGATAACTATCTATTACTTTTAAAATCTTAAATTGGGTTGAGAGGGCACAAATCGGTTCCTAATCTTAGTTATACAGTTATATTACATATAGACTTACTAACAATACCGGCCAAAACTCCTATTAATAAATATCAATATCAGAAATTCAGAAATTCTATAATCGGCTGATATTTAAAACACAACGTATTTATGGATGGGGTTTTTGAAAAAAATTTGTGGGTGTTATTGGGTTGGGACCTACCCTTATTCATCAATATATATGTTAATATAATTAATATATGATCGTATTGCCAATTTTTAAAATCACTATTGGGACACAAACCTGGCTCGTCGATTCTGGAACCAAACTTCAACTTGTCTAGGCCTCAGATTCAACTTTCTTGCCAATTCTTGTTTTTGTTTCTGAAAAATCAAAAACAATCATCAGTTTTTTGTTTTCTCAAAGTAAACGCAGGAAAACAACTGTAGTCCCCCCCGCCCAAAAAAAAAAAAAACGTGTGAGAAAGAAAATAAAGTACCGGATTGAGAGTGCTATGTATCTTGAAGCTTTCCTCTAAAAGGGCAGATTGGTCTTTATTGAGCCTAAGTTTCTTCCTAGCATTAGTGCCATCATCATCTTCATCACTTACCCTTGAAGACACTCTCTCTGTCATCTCTATCTCTGCCTCTTCACTACCAATCTCTCTCTCCCTCTTCACACTAGCATTCGAAAACGACGACGCAGCACTGTCTTGCCGATATAACAACTCATGATTTTCAATCTCATCGCTACCACAAAGCCCCAAAGTGAGTGAGGGCTCAAAAGCCCTCGTCACCTTAGGCTTGTAATTAGGCCTCAAATTATCGGCCGTCGATATATTGTCGGCAGCCGATGAGAAACCTAAGCCTAAAACAAGGCCTGTATTACAAAGATCATCAAAACCCATCTATGGTATGGGGGAAAGAAGAGCAGGGTTGGGGTGGGTGTTTGGATGGGAAGAAAATTAGAAGAATATGAAGGGAAAGATATATAGAGGACTTTTCTTTTTTCTTTTGTTTTTGGGTTGGGTGGGTTGTGCAATTTTGGAAAGAAAATATGTATGATTAATAATCAAAGGAATGAATGAGTAGGGAGGAGACGAATATGGAATGGTGTGTGGATGAATATATTATGACAAAAGTCTATCTCTCTCTCTCTCCATAGGTTGACCAATTGAACCCCAATGCTGTTTTCTCCATTATAATAACAAACAAATGTGGAAACTACCTTCCCTTTTTCTCTCTACTTCTTCAAAATTTTCTTTTTTCTTTTTTTGTTTTCTGTGTCTGATTTTTATATAACATTTTTAACAAGTAGGCTCAACCAGTAAATCTGGTGAAATCTTATTTATTTATATGTTTTGTGTGTCTAATAAACAAACAGAAAATTTGTACAAAAATTTCATCAATTTAATTTAATCAAAAGGAAAGACTTCCAATTTTTTTTAAAAAACACTATCATATCATTTTTAAAAGACTTTTTTAGAAAAATTGTTTATAAACCATTTTCTATTTTATTTTTGTCTGTTTCCTCTGTTTCTCTTGCTTTTTTATATTACTATGTTTGAATTATTAATTTAAATAGAAATTTTTACAAAAATGAGTAAGGATTCTCTATCCTCAAATAATTATATTTTTTGGTCTTAATTTATTTATAATCATTGAATATGTTTTAAGATTTTTACATTTTAAAATTTTTATATAATTTAATAATTATGAATAAATTGAGACAGAAAAATAAAATTATTTGTGCCATTTTGGAAACATGGTAAAAAGCCACGTTTTTGGACAAAATGTCAAAAAATGTGGCTGCCAAAAACGCCAAAAAAGCCATTTGGCAAGTGCTAAAAACGCAGCCCTAAAATTACAAATTAGGGCCTATGAAAAATAAATAAAAAAATAACTCTCTTATGTTGGGTAAGGATATTTTGGTCATTTTAATTTGATTTGATACCATAAATAAATATTAAACTAAAAAGCAAAAAGTCAACTTTTTACCAACTTCCCAAATCACTTCTAAAAAAGCCAAAAAACTTGATAAAAAGCCAAAAATTAATTTTTTACCAACTTCCCAAAACAAGAGAGGACCTTGCACGTGAAGACATGGATTCACATAGGGATGGGGGACACATCAAGAGAGTGCATGATTCGTCCGCCTCTCGCCACCCATTAGGTTGTCAAGTTTAACAATTATTATTACCACTAACTTCACAAATATATATATATATATATATATCTTTTTCTTCTCTTTTTCTATGATTCTTTGGTATTTTGGTTTTTACTTTACCTACATGGGTATCAATTATTAGCCTACTTTCCTCTGTTTATCTTTTGTCAGCTCGAATATTATACGTATATATCTTTGCAACTAGTTCTTTTTTTCTTTCGATAAATATGTGATTGGGAAATATTAATTTTAAGCGTATAAAAGTCTTTGAAAATATTTTTTTTATTTAAACTGTTAAAAAAATATGTATAAATTACATTGAAACTATAATTAAATTGAGTTTACAAAGTTATGTTAGTATTACCCATGTACGATAGCTTTTTGTTGATCTCCAAAGATTGAATGGGTGCTTTCCAAACTAAAATGACATTGGAATTAATATTGTGTTTGAATTATGAATTTACATAAATATTTATTATAGAGAGAAAAATCAATATGAAAGGGACAAGTAAAAATAAGAACTTTGTTATTTTTATTTTTTCATTCTCTTTTCTTTTTCTTTATAAATTTAAAATCAAAACATAATTTAAATTGAATCCCAAATAATTATCCAAAATTTTGAATTAATTGTGTATATTTAAACTTCTTGCTGTGCACCATATCATGAATAAATCTTAAATTTAAAATTTAAATTTATAGTAATTTTTTAAATACTTTTCTAAGTAGATAGACATGTTGTATTATTAAACACTAACAACTTTTTTGTCCATTTTACAACAGGGCACATGAACTTGTCCCCCACTCCATGCTCTGTTTAACTAACTAGAGATGGGTTCTCTCTTGTTACATTGTTTACCATTTTTTGCAAATTAATTTTCCATTATGTTCTAGAGTGGTGGCTAGTAATTTTCCATTATGATTGTGGGAAATGAGATAGAGATGGAGCACTATGAGGGAATTGTATGATGAATAATGGGTTTCTTTGTATGGAGAAAAATAAAAAAGGAAAAAAGGAGAAGAAGTAAAGTTAGGTAGAAGACACAACAGCATTGGGGAGTTTCAACCAGTTATAATGGTTGATGGAATATGATTCATCAACTAGAATCCGTATCATTTTGCTTAACTAGAAAGTTGATGAGGAGTGTGTGTGTTTGGGACCTACTACTAATTAATTTGTACACATTTTTAAACACAATTAATAATGCATTGTCGGCTGTCCTGATGAGATTGAGAGTTAGGTCACCAAAAAGACATGATAATTCTAAATTATTAAGTTGCATAGATAATCAGTGACAACTTGTATGATACTATTTTTGGTATTGCTTTTTGTTTTAAAAATCTGTATTGTTCACGTAAAAATCTGTATCAAAATTCTTTGTAAAATACTCTGTCTCGTTAAAATTTTTCTTTTATTAACAAGTTAGTAGTCAAATTATTGCGTGAGAACCTAAATGAATAAAATATACTTATATTTCACTTAATTTCACACATTTTTTTCTCTTTTTTTTAAAAATTTCTTTCCAAATCCTCTAATCAAATGCAGCGTTAGACTATTTCTTGAGTCAAATTGGCTAAGCTTGAGTATAAGTATTTTGTAGAATTGTTCCCGAAATGGCAAGCGAACCAGTAATCAATCTGGAAAGTGTGGTGCACCTGTTTCCACAAACTATAATGGCCATAATTTATTTAAGAGCTTATTTTTTAAGCCGATCAAGTTTGAAGACTAGTTCAAAAAGCTGAAAAGCTAATATCTTTCTTTGAGTGGTGATTCATCCCATTAATTTTTGGACCACTAATAGCTCTAATGAACTTAAAAAAAAAAAAAAAAAACAAACTCAAGCCAAAATATCACATCACTTTGGTGGGGACCACTGTGCCACATCATTAGTGATGCTCTAGAGCTCCCAATTTAGTGCTCTAAAACATTATTCTCTTTGTTTTTATCTTTAAGATAAGAATTCGAATGGGTTTCCTAGTCTGAAGTCTCTTTGTAGTGGTAATCTTGATTGGCCAAGAATGCTTTTTCTATTCACCATTACACAAACTGACAACTTGGAAGGAAAGCAAGTGATTATAATAATTTAATTCTAACTTCTTAGTTAAGATATGAGGAAGGAAAGGAGTGACAAGTCTGAGACCGTATTTGCTTTTCTATTTATTTATTTATTTATTTATTTTTTCTGTTTTTTAATTAACAAAAGTTGTTTTTGATAAATTTTCATTTTTCTTTAATAATTTTTTTTATATTTTAATTTTTTTTTTTTACTTTTTAAATTGGGCAATGCTAGGGAGCTCGAAAATGAGCTCCCCCAAATCCCTCTAATTTTGTTTGTTTTTTTCAGAAGCAGAGAATGAGGAGGATGAGGAGGAGGAGGAGGAAGGAGGAGAGGAACTGGAGGGGGCCATAATCACAGGGGTAGAGGAGGCGGAGGTGGGGCTAGGCAGAGGCGGGGCTGAGACGGCGGGGCTGGGCAGCGATCGGGCTGGGCTGGACGACGACGGGGACGACGATCGGGCTGGACGAAGACGACGACGACGACGACGGGGACCTCTCTTCTCTCTCTCTCTCTTTCTCTCCCTCTCCCTCTTCCTCTCTGTGACTAAACATGGAAGAAGACGAAGAAAAAAAAATAAAAAAAATAATGCCCAAAACGACGTCGTTTTGGGCATTAGGAGGATTAGGGGGGAGATTTTCGAGCTCTCAAACATTATTCTTTTAAATTTACTAAATTTAAATATTTTTAAAAGAATAAAACAAATTCACTAAAATATAAACCAAACCAAGCCTTAAGTCCCATCAAATGGGGTCGGCTACATGAATCCTTCTTCTCCACGAGGCCCTATCAAAGGCCATTTCATTAGTCAAATTAAGTAGATTCATATCTTTATTTAAAACGCTAGTCAACGTTAATCTAGGCCTACCCCGTCTCCTAACACTTCCATCTATCGTTACAGTATTGCATCTCTTCACTACTGTCTCTGTTGGTCACCGTTGAATATGACCAAACCATCTCAAACAATTCTCTCTCAACTTTTCTTCTATCGGTGCTACTCCTACCCATTCCCGAATACACTCATTCCGAATCCTGTCTCGTCTAGTCTTACCACACATTCACCTTAGCATCCTCATCTCAGCCACACTCATCTTATCTACATGTTGTTTCTTGGTTGCCTAGCACTCCGTCCCATACAACATACCTGGTCTAATAGTCGTTCTATAAAACTTACCTTTTAGTCTAGTGGGTATTCGTTTATCACACAATACTCCAGACGCACTTCTCCACTTACACTCTCCCGCCTTAATCCTATGGGCCACATCTGCATCAATCTCTCCCGCTGTTGTGATAATCGACCCTAGATAACGAAAATGTTCACTCTTAGGCAATTTTTGGTTCTCAATCTTCATTTCTCCTCTGCTTTCATTGTTACTGTTACTAAATTTACACTCCATGTATTCTGTCTTAGTTCTGCTTATCCGAAATCCTTTAGATTCAAGAGCTTTTCTCCAAATCTCTAACTTTGTGTTAACTCCTTCTCTAGTCTCATCCACTAGTACAATATCGTCTGCAAAAAGCATGCACCATGGCACGTCATCCTGAATATTTATCATCAACTCGTCCATAACTAAAGAAAAAAGATAAGGACTTAAGGTAGATCATTGGTGTAACCCTACAGTGATAGGAAATTCATTTGTCTCTCCAGCTGGCGATCTAATGGTGGTCACCACCCCTTCATACATGTCCCTAATCACGTCAATGTAACCTTTTGTCACCCATTTCTTCTCTAACACCCACCATATTATATCCCGGGGCACTCTGTCATATGCTTTCTCAAGGTCAATAAATACCATATGAATGTCTCT